AAATAAGTGTTTGTAGAAAAGTAGAAAAACCAAAATTTATGATATAATAAATAATTCTGAATAATGAATGAAGAAAAAGATATTATATTTATTGAGTAGAAATTGAGAGAATCTCTTCCATAATAAGCCTAATCCCTATCGCAAACACATAATGATAAGTGAAGTCAGAGTCAGGTTTTTATGATTTTGTTGTTTAGTATATATTTCAAAGTCAATTAGAGTTGATTTTAAAGGAGAAAATGCCATTTCTTGACATTTAAGAAGATTTATGTTTTTGAATAATAGCATTAATTTGTTTATTTTGTTGTTGTTTTGTTACATGTTATGTATGGCTTCGCTCTCTGGCCTTTACCACGATCTTCACCTCAAACACACAAAAGCAGATTCTGGACAGACATTTAGTAGTGAACCAACAAATCTCATCGACACAACTCGAGACACAGTTTGACACAATACACACCGTCAAAGGCATACTCAAAGTGGCCAAAGGCCAAGTTCAGTTTGGTAAGTTATGTTACCGCATACTTTTTTTTGTTACATGTTTTTCATGTAACAAATTCTTTCATATTTTCTCCCAAATTCCTGACGAATAAGTATAAAAAACAAAAGTGTTTTTTGTCTCTCTATTTCACCCGAAAATCATAGCGAATATAATTGAAAAATTTAATATAAGAATAACACGAATAGAGTAGTAGTTATTAAAGTATAACTTAATATATCTATTGTATTGTTTGAAAGATAGAGTAATAGAAAGTCACAGTTAAGTGGTTTTGTTTTTTATTATTAACAAAATATAATAAAAAAATTATTAAAGTCCTGTTGGCTTTCAAAAAAGCCGGTGCTATTGACCCTCAATTCTCGTGTGTATGTCATGTCATCAGCCCTTAAAGGTTTTAAAACCACTTTTGAATAGAAATGTTTTTCAATTTTTCAATTTACTTCACCGGTATTCTCAACCCTAACACAACACCCCCTCCATAGTAGTCACCCATACGTACGGCGACTTTAACCTCGGTTTATGACCTCATCCTTTATATAGACATAAATCGACTTAAAATTAGTGGAAAAATTAATTCAATTCTTATGACTTCTTCATTACTATTCGGTTAGAAATCAATTGCCATTCCTTTGCGATGCGATTATATAATACATGTCTTAATAATAGATTCACATATTCTTTAAGACGATTTATGGTTTGCCTTATAAGTAGTTTTAATGTAATGATTGAGAAATTAATGTTTGAATGAATGCCAGAGTTATTAGTTTAGAGTTTTTGTCATGAATGCCATGAAATCATTTTCCCAAACATATGAACAAACATTATATAATTTCCACTCAATTTAGAAATTATCTTTCGTTTAAATTATTACACAATTTATATACAGATTATACATAATATGAGCCGCAGATTCAGATCATGCATTTCCTACAGACAAAGAGGGAGTAAATTAGGTTTGCATTGAGATATTCATAATGTAATTCAAGACTAATTACTTAGAAGTGAACGCAATTTTGTAATTCATTTTTTCAATGACTGTTTGAATTATCTTTTCAACGAGAATATAACAAAAGCATTGCTTAAGCATTGAGTTTGAGAACAGCTTATTTACATAAATCAAACATGGGTACTTTTTGTTTTTATTAAATCCATTCATTCAGACTTGTGATAGCAATCAAAGAAATGTTTACTACAAAAGAATAATTGAATACAAAAATATGGATTTTATTTTCTTCTCAAACTCTCGACGATTAAGAGATAGTTTTTACAAAACGTTTTGTTGAATATAACCATTGAATACAAGCATTGGTTGTGCGGAGGAAAAAAACATAAGCAAAAACTTTTAATACGATTTCAAAAGGTTTTTTGTTTGTTAGTTAGACTTCTTCTCAAACCTGAATTTCTTGTACTTCAACCCAAAGTTAACCAAAAAAAGTATGGTTTCTCTGCTGTAGAGATAACCCATAAGAGAGCAACGATTCATACAATTTCTGTGACCAATCCTTTTAATATTTGATTAGGCGTTCAGTCAATTCAAATCGATTACAAGAATATTTCGCTGCACTCGGAGTGTAATTAAGTTTAGATTTTATCGCAATTAATAGGCAGTGAATTAGAAGCTATCGATTCGTATATAAAACATAAAGCAAACAAAAATATCATCCGATAGTGTGTTGAAGAGATGCAATATTTTGGGTATAGTTTTTATCACTCATTTTACGGGTGTTATGATTGGATATTCAAAGGAATACTAGTATTTAATAAGTATTAAGATTCATTAATTGGAGGCAATTTTAATGAAATGCAAATGAAAAAATCGTTATAAAATTATACGGCAAAAAGTTTAACATGTAATGCATGTTATCGTAAGAGTTAGTCATCCGAAGGGTTAGTCAAACGAAAGTTTTTTAAAAACAAACTAACACTCAACGCAATCGTGTTGTTATCTCTACCTCTCGTACTCTCTCGAGTTGTTATCATTAAAAATATACATTTTCCCAGTAATTAACTATTATTGGTAGATGAGGTCAATGCCATACACAATGAGATAATAGTAGACATCTGACCGCCACTTCCAGCACCACTTCCCAAACCCAAAACCTATTAGCCCTCCAACTATTGACATGACATCTGCGAGCACTGCCCGAGATATGTATCTGCGAAACGGATGACCCCTTATATGTGTGGCGATCGCTAAACGCGATACAAGAATACGTGATTCCCATTGAAAGCGATGTTTCAATTAATCATTTGTTTTGTTTTAAATGAAAATTTTTTCAATTCGCAGGTAATCTATATATTGAATGGGAGGGCAAACGCGCGCGTATTGTGCGGCCCGACGTTCAGGCCATCAATGGTGTCATTCATGTCATCGATACTGTGCTGATGAAGAAGAGAGATCTCAGCGTCAACTCATCCTCTCATCCCGTCGTTAGCATCACATTAACGATCGTTTTTCTAATAATTGCAAAGTGTTATTAAAGACTAAACCAAAATCTAAGAGTTATAGTTTATTAATAATTTAATTAATTCATTATTATTTCACTTTTACCACAACAACTACAACAGCAACTGAAACGACTTCAAAATATTAATAAATTATACAAACAATATATTAGAGATAATACAAGACGACAACCATTACGACAAATACCTGTCATCACAACTGAATAATGAAAACAATTTGAAACAAATAATTGAAAACAATTGAAAGACACAACAAATTCCATAATTGGGTCCAACCTTACGACTAAACAAGTTTCACAAAAAGTTTTAAGTCTAATATATATTATGATTATATGATATCTCATTAATTGATGCGATCATCAGTTATACCAGAATTATTATTACACACTATTGTTGAGCTAATAATAAATAAGTTTTTTAGGTTTAAATTATAATAATTATTATTTTTTGAATTCCTCTCACAATTCCTCTAAAAACAAATGTTTCAAATGTCATAACTTATTGTTAACAATAATAAGTTTGTATTAATTTTGCACTCATTTTAGTCATAATTATACTAATTTCACGATAACAAAAAACAAGCGACTTGTAATACATTGTAATTACATTAGATTTGATCATATATTTTGCTATTAGTTTAATTGAAGGCAAATGTTTATATTGTAAACTACTTTTCATAACATCTCTCTTTTCCTTTTAAAAAGTTATACTTTTTTCCGATGAAAAGAGTAGAAGAATTTGAGACAATTTTATTTGATTAAAATTGTTTCATCTCTCGCTTTACAATAAGAAACATTGGTTTTCAATGAAAACTATTTTATTAACGAATCTCTTTCACAGACTAATTGCTTAACAAAATGCTAAAAAGTCGATGTAATGAAAAGCTTTCGAATTAATTAGAAAATTATGTTTTATATAAGTTTTTCTTCGGTATAAATGAGAAAAAAGTCACATAAAAGAAGTGAATTATAGATAGAAATATGGATTAAAAAGCTTAAAGAATGAGAAGCATAAAGAATTGATGATAAATATAAAAGCAAATCATATTAATGTAAATATAAGCTTATATGTAACAAATATAAGAGAAATTTTTTAAAAAGTAATTAATGAATATTGCATTTAATTACAGAAAAAAGTATTGTTTCATAAAAATATGTGTTCTTTTGGCTCTTATCTCCATTCAAATGAAATAATTTGTGGAAATAAATGATTGATTACATGATATTTATAAATATGTGAGAAGCGAACCATTGATTGATATGATATTGCATTTAATATAACAAAAAGTGATTAAATCTGATTTGTGAGCAACAAAAACATAATATAAAACAATTTGATGTGATTTATATTTTTAGCGCTCTATATCTCTCTCAAAACATGTGTTTTATGCTAATTATAACTACAAATAACTAAAACTTGTAATAAAATTACTTATGAGATAACAATTAATTGTCATTTAAAATAAAACGAAACACAACTCTAAACACAAACTCATATCGAAAAACACATACTCTATATAAAAAAGCAACACTTTTATTATGAAAAACCGAAAAATACTTTAAAACGGCTTTAAAATAATGCTTTATTTCGGCAAAAGTTTTACGTATAATTATCATTATTATCATTACAAACAAAACTATATAATAAATGTCTTTTTCAAACTAATTTCATTTCTATCTGTGTTTTGAGAGGATTTAACGAAAACATTGTGAAAAATTGATTGTTTAAGAAAGAAAAGTCAGTCATTTATTTTTGAATTCTCTGTCTTAACCAACGGCTCAATCGATGTTTCATTTCTTCCCTCTATTTCTCTCTCAATATTATAATTATGTTTATAATTCTCAAAGTTATTCACAAAACAACCCAAACATTAAATAATTGTAACCAAAAAACAAATCCAATTCAAGTGTCGATTATTCTGTAGATTATTTGTGTTAATTATAATTGATTTTTCTTTTAAATTTACCGATAAGTAATAATTTCGCATAACTTTTTGAACTGTTATTATTATATATTGCTTACGATTTATGTATATTTCACTAAAGCTTTTATCCGTCTTTTTAAAAAATAATAAAATAAAAACTTCATAAAAATATTAATCCATTCGTCTCTTCATTTATTTTAATGAACGTAAAAACCTATTGATTTAAAAGTCATTAATAATAAACATTTAAAACATTAAAAACAATATATTAATAAATAGCTGTGAAATATTCTCAACATTAGGTAATCAAACAGACTATTAGCCAAATAAATAACTGTTTATTTAATAGCCTTTAATAGTCGTTATCAATGATAATATGTTTGTGTTGAGCGTATAATAGATGAGTGGAAAGCCATTGGCAATGATTGAATGAAACCCAATTCGCACAGTCAGTCAACACTCATTTCCTAATTTGTTTT